GTAAACTGTTCAAAGGGCTTTAAACGATTTCAGGTGATGAATAAGGGTCTTATCATGCGAAACAATCGCTCATTTAAAAAAAATAAAGTTTAAGTTTTATAAGCTCAAATGGTCGCCTTGCACTGTTCTGTGATGCGCGTTTGTGACTCTCCTGTTCAAACTCGTTTATCAAAATGAACTTTTTTCGTGTCATTTGGTTGATTCAACAAATGAAATGAATAAGTTGACTCGGGAAAAGATTTGTTCATTTTGAACCTTAATCAAAAACCTTAATTTCTTTTTTGACTGAAGAAAGAATGACATGGATATCTTGGATGACATGGGGATGACTAAATTATCAGCAAAAGTTTTTTTTTTAAAGTGAACTACTCCTTTAAAGGGCACCTATTATGGCCTTTAAAATGTTCCAAATATTGTTTTGGTAGTCCCAAATAACAGTTTTACATGCATGCTATGACAAAAAAAAACACTTTTGTTGTCTTATAATATGCATTTATTTTTACCGGATTTGCTCACCGACTCCCAAATGATTCTAGCCTGACTTCGTCATACTCATATTCTATGCTTTGATTATGAGGCGTGTCTTAATCAAACCAGGAAAAAACAAAAAAAAAACAACTCTGCACTGAATTGGATAGACCTATCAGAGCAGTAAGTGACGTATGAATCATAGTTGTCAACAGAAATGAACTGCACACACTCTGGAAAAACTATTTAAAAGAAAAATGAGTGTTAACAATCTTTGCCGGTGTTGCAAAAATAATTTAAGGATTTGCGGAGTACTGCAAAAACATGTTTGAACGAAATAGAAAATGTGAATGTATATACGAACAAGTTCTCCGTTTAGGATTATATCTCGACAATAAAGCCAAGAAATTTGCTCGCATTTGCCGGACCTGTCTCAACTTTATAATACGGTTAGAGCGCGACTTGACTGATTTTAAAAAATGGAGAGACGACAAAAGAGACCATGGCTGAAGAAGCGTGTTCATTTGAGTCTTCAGAGAAAAGAGACCGAGAGACAAAATTAGGTTTTAATAACGTATTTAATGATGATTTAAATACAAAATGATGAGTAGCATCATCTAATAATTTACATAAAAAAATACATCGCGTGTAAGGGGTACAGTGACTACAAGTATGGGTACGATGTGCGAGTAGTATAACAAAGCGTCACCATTGTTTGATGCAGCGATAGCTTTGACATGAGTTGAATCGCCATGATGCCCAGTTCGGTTGCTTCTTTTACTTGGTCTTCCATGAGTGCGAAACCACAATGAAAACTTGGTTTTCATTGCGCCCCATCTTCTTAGCGACCATCGGAGCCAGCTGATAAATTAAACTTTTGCCGAATTCAGAGAATTTGCAGTTCTCTGTTCGTCTTTTAAAATCAATGCACCGTTGATTTCTTCTAAAACAGACGCAATAGTGGAATCTATACAATTCTCCAGCTGCAGTTATCTTTGTTGTAAACCAGTTCAAACCAAGCGCTCTTTGATGACGTGATGATTACGTAACTGCAGATCATCTGTCCATCACCCTGGCAATTTGATTGACCCGATGATTTTTTTTACTGATCATAATTACTCCTCAATGGATCGAGTCCAGGCCGAACTTCTCGACCAAAAAATGTTGTGGGCGGGGCTCGGGCTGGCATCTAGGCTAAAATGAATCATTCAATGACTCATTTTTCCAAACCCCTTCTTTGTGTGACGCTAAACTGCAGTGATTGGTCAGATGACCCAATCAGTTAGTTAGTTAATTAGTTAACAGGCTTGTTCATGCAGCTCTGCGCAGACCGATTGGTGGCTGACTTGAAGCAGTGCATGCCGGTTAGAAATTTTGTCCGACTTGATGCAGCGCTGACTCCACATGACTGTGACGTATGCTATCAAATACTGCGAGAGTAGCCAGAGGACTCAGCCAGCGCAGTTTCTCAAGAGCTGCTGCACAAGCTCTGATGATGTCACATCTGTTCCATGATTCGCCGGATTTACAGCATGACAATGATCACGTGCGTTTCGTGTTTATTCTCACACCTTTAGTTCCACTAATCAGTTTTTTACAACAGTAAACACTCTTTTTATGTAGTCGCAATGTTATATTGTGTCATGTTTATCAAAATAAAACTGAATAAAACATGTTGACTCCACTACATTGATATTTTGAATTCTATTCTAGTTCAAACATGCTGTATGAAGCAGTAAAGTATTGAATGAAAATGTTTCTGAAATATCTGTGTATTTGGCAAATATTGCATTTATTTAACTTCAGCTGTGGTAAAGAATGCAAACACCACGTGAGCGGTCACTACGGGAACCAGAAAGTGTCCGACTTCAAGTCTCCGTTTGCAGCTCCTCCCTGCCTGCACGCGGCTACTCTCGCCGATAGCTTACATCCAGCCACAGCCGATGTCGAACACACCTAAAGTTTGTGTTAGCCCAACGCATAAACATATTGATAAAGCACTACAGTACTAGGTATTGCTCTATTCTTTATGACAACTCCAATAACAACGACTTATCTTTCACATATTTAAAAAAAAAATGACATTGGAGACCTAGAAGATGTGCTGAGCGTAACTTACACAACACACATAAATACTTATTGAGCAAGCTACAAAACACATAAAAGCAACAATTATTAATAATATTTAAGGGTTATGATTCGAAGGAGGAAGCTGATCCAAATAATTGGTACTGAACCTTCCTTCAGTATCAACCGACTCACGGATCCGAAGCATTTGTTTGTAATTGTCATTAGAATGACACGAACAGCACAAGGTTTGGCGTATACTTGTCTGGTTTAGTTGTAAATATAAACTCTAGCCACTGATTCTTCACATGTTCATCCATGGGCAGTGAAAAAGGTAGCTTTTGATTCACACTTCAGAACAGCTTTTGATTCACACTTCAGAACGAATTGCCAAAAGAGTCAGTATATGGCGCCTTGGGATGAGAACAGGCTCGACATTCATACAATAAAAACAACTCTACAAAGCAACTCCTTTAATCAGTCATATCCTGTGCTATTTTTAAATAAGTAGCCTACAGCTGACCATCCTCACACACTGTTTCAAGTACATGTTTGACTGATGGGGCTCTGAAAAGATATAATTCAAAGTAAGGGCATCCAATAGCACATTCTCTCTCTTCCAGTTTTCTATTCCCAGTGAGTGTCCTAGAGCAGCGGCTTCACAGGCCTGGCTGTGATCAGGCCACTGCTGAAAGATAAATTCCTTCACCTGCCCGTATCTGCCTTGGGCATCATAGACACATTCCTATGAGTGGGATTGACAGACTCCACTGAGACCCTTTTAACTCCTAGTAGAAGAAAAGAGTTCACAACAAGGCAGCTTTGTATTGAAGATGTATTGTGCCATGTTCTTATGCCATGAACCCTTATTGTCATTTATTTCAATATCATATTATTCAGTCATTTGCAAAAGCATCCTCAATTATGTATTTGCTCAGTTGCCATTATTATTTGAAAATAGTATGTAAGCCGTTTCCAACTCAAGATAAAAAGTAAAAAGATGGTCATTGTGAACTGTTAAAATTAAAAATAGCACATTGCCAGATACAGAATTACAAGTCACAATTACAATAACATTGCAAATGAGAATGTCATATACAAGAGACAAAGTCGAAATCGTGAAATATAAAAACACATTGTATAGAAAGTCACATTGTGTGGGTAATTAGGAAAAATAAACTTTTGAATAACTGAATAAAAAGGTTTTGATTGATGCTCACTATCGGTTGATCGTGTTGGCCTGTCAGAAAAGATTATTTTTGCAGATACAACTGAATGATGAATATGTTGTGTAAAATGTGAAACTATATTCAAAAAAACATCCCTTCAGGACATGACCTTTTTGGATTTTGGGACACACAAATCATAATTTCCACACCTGGAACCAGACAAAAGGCTGTAAGAAAGACACTTAAACTGTCACCTCAGCCTTGGATCTGGAGGCAGATATGAGAACTAAATCATTTACTTTTGGAACAACAGTCTTTTAAAAGAATTCCAAAAGAAAAATCCAAAGATAATTTGGCTTTGTGACCTTAAAATTATACAGATATATTCCAATACATGAATTTTAAGAAATTAAAAAAACTGTGTTACACTCTACCTGTTACATTTAAAGTTTAGTTGGGTATCTTAGGTTTAAATCTATGGTGAAAATGGCTCTGGGATGGAAATGTAAACGGGATCTACAAACCTGCCCTAACAGCTCTGATATAATTAGAGGTTCCACTTCAGTTTAAAAGATTGGAACTCTTAGATTAGTCCCCTTGATAGATCCTTGAAGGAATGTCCAGTCTTCCAGCTACCTGCTTGCTTTCCTTTCTCTATTTAGGGGGGTTGGGAGATTGTTATCTCAGGCTCAGTTTACATATGCCAGCTCAGCCTAATGAGTCTATTTGAATGTGTATGGTCCACTTGTGCGTTTGTGCACCCTGTAGAAAAGTATTGTTAAATTGGATAACACCCTTTCTACTGATAATTGAGTGGTCATTTGTAATTTTCAATACAGATGTCATTGCATGCCATTTTGTGAGCAATCAGGTTAAAGAGGTCACGAAGCTTATGAATTTTCAATGAATGTGAGTGGGTCCATTAATGGCTCCAAATATGTGTTCTGAAATATTATTAAATATTTAAACTCTGCATTTATACCATACTGACAAAGCATGGCATAGAACACCTTCAGGTTTTTTTTTTTGCAAATAAAATAAATAGATTTGAGGTGCATGTCTACCATCAAATAGAGAGGTTTTCTGTGAGGTAAAGGCTAAATCCATGTAGGAGGTTATGAGCTGGCTGTACAAGACATGGGGAAAATAGCAAAGTGGCTTTGTTCATTTTGGAACCATTTTCTTTTATCAGTAGGATAATTGTGTCATTGTTTTGGTCAGATACAATTAATTATTTACATCTACAAATTGAATAATTGTGAATTAATTAAAAACATTATCAACTCTGTTTTACAGATATCTGAACCTGACTGATGGAAAAAAATGGAAAAACTGGAAACTGGAAAAAAGTTTGACTGGAAAAAACTGCAAACTGCATTGCAACATGGAGAAAAAAAGAAATCCGTTTGTGAATTAAGTGTCATCATTTTCATTTAAGATTAGTTAATAGTTGGTTAATAGTTAGTTAATAGTTGACTGTTTTTTTGTTTTTTTATCTGTATTTCATTTTTTTTTTGCATTGCATTGCATTGTGTTTTAAATGACATGTCAGTAAACTTAATGTCCTGGCAGAAAACTAGTACCTTTTTCTTTTCTTTCTTTCTTTTTTTTTTTACATATTCTTTTCTTACAATGTATTACCTTTATCTAAGAACCATAATATCATATTTTATGTTTGAATTTAATATTGTAACCATTTTAAATCTAATTTATGAAGATGTAATCTAATATTAAAAGGACAAGCTTGTAGAATTTCAACCAGCTTTGTTTGCATTGTAATTATGAAGGTAGTTTATGTAAATGGACAATGTATACAACCAAAATCTGCATTAGTATTCCTCACAGTTCCTTTGTTGTATGTATGTTATTGATGCCTATAATTGAAAACTCTAAAACTTAGGCTATATATTTGTATATATGCTAATACAACTTTAATTACTGTACCTTGTTTAAAAAAATCTCATGATTATTATGTTTTGGGTTATAGACTAGTTTTTAAATTTTATTAAACTTCTGTAAACTAAGGTCTTAAAGACAATCTTGTTGGGTGCAACATGGGTTTATAATCAATTGCTTTTCCCTCGTAATATCATAATGTCAAAAAATACAATAACATTTTACCTTAATTATAATTGTCATTTATCATTACTTTTAGTTTCCATAAATCCTTTTTCTAGAGTAACATTTTATGTTATGTAAGGCTATATCGTATGTATCATATTCTGGCTTATGATATTAAATATCATGTTCTGGCTGCCCATTTTACTCTGCTCATTATTACAGCTACAGTTCAACAATAACTACTACCACTGCTAGTTAGCTGAGCAGTGCGTAATACTTGTGTAAGACTGAATCTTAAGCAATATGTTAAGCTATCTGTAATCTAAAGATTGTTGTATCAGAACTGTGTTAAAAAATTGTGCTAACTACAAGCAGATGCCAAAATAGATGGTTACACAATTTTTTTTATTTATTTAATGTAATTAATTTTAACAACTACCTATTTTTTTATAATATAGCAAATGTGTTGTATTGCATTTATTGCAAACTTCCAGGTGCACACTGAAACACCTCAAACCATGTGTGCTGAGTGCTAAAAGACAGGAATTAGTTGTCACCTCAAAAACACCTGGACATCGGAAGTATCTGATCTGACATGTTTATAAAAACAAAAGGAAGAGGAATGTGAGGAAGTAGTAGGTGATGCACAGCATAGTGAGGGCATCTATACATCTACCGTGTTGATAATAATAGCATCTTAAGAGACCTTCACAGCATTTGCAACCATTATTCATCAAAATTCGAGTCGAACATTGACAAAAGACTGAAATACAGGAAGCTGAGAATGCTATTAAATATACAATACGTTTATTGAGATGTGCTCTGATAATTCTAATATATTCTAATTATATTTCTAAAAGAAAAGACATGACCCTACAGAGACTGTTATGTCCAAAGCACACCTATGTAACACTGTACAGTCCCTGCGGTCAGCCGATGGGCAGAGGGGAGTGTAGTCAGGAAAGAGGGAGGAGATGGAGAAGAGTTATCGCAGGAATGCTGACGTGACCGCAGTGCAAGAGGAACGGTGCCACTGGCCAGGGCAGGCAGAAAGCCTCCCCTCACCCAAGCTCACCCTGTGCTTAATAAAGGGGTAAATTATCCTAGGATCCTCTATTTATACAGTGTGTATATTTACAGCAGTGGATGATTGGGATGCTGCAATGTTTGAAAGCAATGCGAAAACGTTGCCATCCTTTCTGGGAAAGGGTTATTCTGAAGCCGAGAGAGTTGATGCTGGCAAAGCTGAATAACATAACTGCCATTACTTTGAGGGATTGGTCCACTGAACCTGCCCTGAACTAAACCAGTCGAAGTCTGGATGAAATTTATCAGAAAGATTGGTCCCACTTTATATTAAGTGGCTTTAAGTACTATGTACTTACATTGAAAAATAAGTAAAATATTATTGTGTTCCTGTTGTATTGTAAAACACTTTTGCTGCTACTGAGGTATGATACGGGTAAGGTTAGGGACAAGTGTGGTGGTATGGGTCGGTTTAAGGGTAGGTTAAGGTGTGAGGGAAGGGTCAAGTGTGTAATTACAAATGTAATTACATAAATTAATTATAGCTGTAATTACATGCTGGTATTTTTCAAATATAAGTACAATGTAAAAACATGTATGAACACAATAAGTCCATGGTATCAAATTATTAATTTCAATGTAAGTACATACTTAAAGCCACTTAATATAAAGTGGGACCGAAAGGGTCATTTTTATTTCATTATAATCGTTCCCTAAATAAAGTAATATCATAATAATGTAAATGACAAGACAATCCTGACATTCCTTTAGGAACCCAGTAATAAAACATGTCCTAAATGTACTAAAGGTTGCCCGCTTTGCTTTAAAGTGACAGAATTTATACACAAGTGCTGATTGGCTAGCATGTGGCTGTCAACATACTTGTTGACAATATTTTCACTTTATTGGACATGTAGAGGCACCCTTCTTGTGCCCAACCGTGACTGTATTGACATACTAGCATGTTGTCTGTTAGCATGCTTGACTTGTGCTATGGCTGAAGAGGTGAAGGGGTTGAGTGCTGGTAGAGGCCTTCATCTGTAATCTATGTATCCTTAGACAGTGACTTATGGCCACAACTGCAGCTTACAGCTGGATGTAACCAGGTTAAAATGTCAGATGTAATGCTGGGAGATGTCAAACTTATATAACGTTACAGGACCTGGGAATGGTACTGCCGATAATGATTAATATGCCTTTTGTTTATTAGCAAATGATTGACACTCATTAGAAATCAAGTTTTAGTTAGTCTAGTAACTACATGCTCCACCTTTTCTATATGGAGCTCTGTGATTTTGAGATCAGAACAACTGTATACATTTAATTTAATCAGACAAAGTTTTAATTTATATTTCTGTGCTGATTGGTTTCCACTAATCACTCAGTACTACACCAAGTGTCCACTTTAGGTGCTTGACAATGCATCGGCTACTAGTGCACCAAAAGTTATTTTAGCAAAGTAACAAAATAGAAACAGCCTCATCAAGCACCCATGGCATGCTGGCTATTCGGCGAATGCTAACAGGGGTTTTTCACAAGGGTTGCTAAGAGTGGTGTAGTGTTGTCCAAAACATGTATCCGAATAAACAGAGTGCCCTTTATTTTGGTTCATGTTATCAAAGGGATTAAACAATTCATTAGTGGAACAGTAGTTCTATGATTTGCAGTGTTAAATTCTGTATATATTTACTCTCCTTGAAGATTGAAGATATATGACCTTTGTGTTCTCCAAGGAATTAATGTTTCCTGAATGTGCTGAAAGGTCTGAATCACAGCAAATTTAAACCCATAAATTCAAGCTTTGGGTGGGATTTCATAAAACTTCCTATCCATCTGAACGTAGTGAGGGTCACTGGCCTAGGTCAGAGGGAAATGTAAATTCTATATTTTAATTATATGTATGATTAATAAATATAAAAATGTCACTGGTTAATAAAAACTAATGCATTAACTTATGTTAACAAACTAAACCTTATTATATAAAGTGTTACCAGGAAAAACTGTACATTGGGGCATAATTAACATCAAAACACATGTAAATGTAAAAGTAGATTACTCATGTTGAGTTAACATTAATGGAGTTGGTTAGTTCTAATAAACTAGAAAATGTCAGATATCACAGAAAATGATGACCAAAACAAAAATATTATTGGTCATTTAATCGGATATGTGAGGTGGTATCCACAGTGCTCCGTAAATGGAAAGAGGGTATTTATATCTAGATGTGACCACAAGGTTTCCATACACAGTATGTATTCTCAAGTATCTACCCTGATTCTCACTTCAGCTAGGTCATGCTAAGCTAAAGTCGCGACATAAAAACATGAACAAAATAAAGTAGTGTTTTAAAGCTTTCCAGTATATGAATAAATAAGGCCTCATCAAATAATGAAAGTTATTCATTCTCCTTTTTCGCAATTGATTCTGGATGCTTGTATTGACGCGCTATATCATGTCACATTACGAGATAAACTCAATGTACTCCTGACAGCCATTGGGGATTTCCATCATCATCCGGTGGACACATTTAAAATCCCATCCCCAGTGACTGCAATTGCAAAAGATATATTTGGACACTCCAGAAATAAAATTATATGAGAGAATTTTTTTTCAGGCAGGCAGCAGGACATCATGCCTGTTAGGTCAAACTATGCTCATGGTCGCCAAATAAAGTGTCATTAGGAAATGTACCTGAATATGCCAGTGCTGCTGATTATTTGCATTGATTATTGTGTAACTGGTATAATTAAGGAAAATCAAAAAAGAAAACCCTTGTTTCTATCATTTCATTAAAACACAGGGCCCTTGGGTAGCCTTTGCCCACCTGTTTAACCAACTGGACTGAGTATTGTATGGCTTGACCTTTCAACTGCCCCATGAAGTGACCCCCCAAGTTATAAGCACGTGAACTATTATACAATAACTCAATAAACAGAATTTCATCTAAACACATAATTAATTTATTGACTGTGTAGTGTTATTAGAAAAAAAAAAGTACTAAATACACACACACACACACACACACACCAAGACACAAGTTTTCATGTTTATGGGGACATTCCAAAGACATATTGATTTTATACTGTACTAACAGTAAATTCTATTCACTAACCCTAAATCTACTGCTAAACCTACCCATCACAGAAAAAAAAATAATAATAATACAAAATTGGTATTATAAGATTTATAAGCTGTGTAGGGTATGCCAGAACCACAGACACACCAACAAATAGAATTATTTTTAAATTAGTTTATTTTTATTTCAAATCAA